TATAAATAATCACCTTTCTAGGAATTTTAAACTGTTTTACTAGCTCTTTTGGTATAATATCATAGTTGACTTTTACATAAAACCCATAGCTCATAATTTCATGCAAATGTGTAACATGTGTTTTTTTTTTTTTTTCACAACTCTGAATGTATTCATTAGGTTTTTTAGGAGTTAAAATACATTCGAAGTCTGCATAAATAACAATTGGTATCCTTTTAGTATTTTTATAATTTTTAAAATAAATAAATTCATCATCTCCCTCTTCAAACATTATAGGTCTCCCTAATTGGTTCTTTCTACAATTATGCTGATGTTCAATCAATCCTTTCATGCCCCAAAGTTTGCTCTTACATGGATTATTCCCGAAAGTAGTAAAACATCTTTTACAGATAATTTGCTTGGAACAGTTTTTAGTTTTCTGACTTCTAACGAATCTTGAAAATTTTTTTATATAACAGTAATGCGATGTTTCATCATTATTAAACAAAAATAGATCAAAATGTTTTTTTTTTTCAATATCACATATATACAGAGGAAAAATATGATCTTTATCATTTAAACTATAAAGATTAATTGATACATCGTTTACACGTTCAAATTTTTTCATCTGACTGATGGGTGTTGGAAAATCAATACATTTAAAATCTAAACCACTTTTTTTTTCTAACATTTTAAAATATTTTTTATTTAAATAAGTTTTATTCGAACGATTATCGAATTTAGATAGTATTGAATATTTAAAACATTTATCATCGTTATTTTTTACATTTATAATTGCTTTTTTATCTTTCATAAATTCAGGTAGATCTATATACGTTCCTCCCCTGAGAGGATTCACTATATTAATTCTCAATTGTAATACATCTATAGTCTTAAGGGACCACCCAGATCCTTTCGCTAAAAACTGGTCTTGCTCGGATAATAATTTATCGAACATCCTATTTAATAATTTATTGAAATCGGATGAATTACATGCAAGTGTATTAGAAGTTTTGAATGCTATGTCCTGAACTTCTTGAGTAATTATTCGTTCGTTTACACTATCCACATGTAAATTAAATTTTATAGATGATTGTAAACATGATTGTTTTAACTTTAAAATTAATTTATCTCTAACATAGTTAAAAAAAAGCATATAGTCTATAAAATCTAAAGTATTCTTAATCACAAATGTTTTCGAACATTTTTTAAACCTTTCAATTTCAAATAAACCTTCATCAGAAGATGTCATCCGCTGACGTTTTGTAACCGTTTTTCTTTTCATTGTGAAACTGAAAATAGATTAAATAAAAACATGGGTATAAGCAATAATAATAATATTGAAACAATTTATTATAACATCAACTTCTTTTTAAAAAAAAAAAAATCTTATGCAAGCAATTTAGAATATTTTTTTTTTTTTTTTTTTTTTTTTTTTTTCATAAATATGATAATAGTATTAATTCTAAATTATTATAAAAAATTGATTAATACAATAAGAAATTACTCAGATTCTAATTCTCTTAACCGATTGCTTAGTTCTGTTAACCGATACTGAAGATCTGCTTTACATTCACTTGAATAGTTTTGGAATCTATTATGTTCATTTATCAACTCAATTTTTAAATTTAAATGTTTCTTCATACTATTATTAATTTTTACAATTACTTTTCGAAATGCTTTCTGTTTCTCGTTACAATAGCGTCTATTTGCACGCACCTGTTGTTCTACTGCTAGAATTCTGCTTTTAATAATGTTTATTTCTGAGCTCATGATTCTGAAAATTACATAGAATTTCAAAACTAACTATTAATACTGGTACATTGTTTATACGCTCATTATGTTAGAAAATTGATACGTTTTTTTTAATCTAAATTTTTATTAAATTAGTTTTATTTGTACGATTATAAAACTTGAACAGTATTAAACATTAAAAACATTTATTATCCTTCGTTAGATATTATATACACAAAATGATATAGGTTATAATTTACTACAATATCATTCGATATATAATTATAAGATAAAATAATAAATAATAACAAAAATAATTTATTTATATTGATTTTTATTTTTCGAAAAACAGAATATTATCAGTAAATATATTATTATATACTGTCTAATTGTTCATACAAATCGCTGAGCCCTCTTTGAATACTTTTTTCGCAAAGAAAGTCAATGTATAATGAACTCTTATATTCATGTAATATTTTTTGTTTTTCTTCTATTAATTTATTTTTAGTTGTTTTTAAACTTGCTTTCGCTATTTTCATATTAATACAATCCAGATTTTTCCTAAAATTGAATTTGGCTATTCTCATGCCTTGTTCGTTTTCCTTGCGTTGTCTCAAGATGGAGTTGATTTTTTCAGTTATTAGTGATGACTCCATTTTTTTTTTATTCTAGAAAAATGAATATAATTTGTAAACTAACTACTAGTTATAAAATAATGTATATTAATGTCCAAAATTCATTATTTTATTTTATATTTAACTTTTTATATAAGAAAATATTACATGTTAATCATAATTTATTGATATTTCTTAAGGACTAAAGTTCTCCTTAGAAAAATATTGCTCGGTTAACTCTTTTTTTACAACATATTTCCATGTTATGACCACTCTTTCTGCTAATTTGCCTACGACTCCACCTCTGCTTCTTAATTTGTTGACTACTCGACCAATTTCAGTGGCTTCTAAAGTTCCATAGTCATCGGAAGTTTCAAAAGTTTGCATAAACATTCATATATTTGTTTGTTGTCGCAGATCTCGACAGCTCTTGTGATTTTTCTGACATAGTGATTAATCACTCTGACTGACCTATATATTTATATATATATATATATAAATAAAATAAATATATAAATATAAATGTTTCTTTATTGAGGTTAGTTCATATATAAATGCTTATAATATTTTATGAAACCAAATATAATATAAACATTTATATCAAAATAAAAATTAACTATGATGACAGATCATGTACAAGCTATAGTTTTCAATGATTATATTTAGTTTATAGAAATTAATGAATAATTTAATAATAACGTAAAGAAAACAACAATACTATATTATAAACTATAAAAAAAAACATTGGTTACCTGTGTACATAAATATAAATTTATAATATATTTACTAATTATTCATAATTTAAAAAAAAATTTTTTAACCTGATCTACACCTTTCGCGCTTAGATTCTGCGGTTGTAATAAAATCTAATCTTTTACCAAAACAGTGTTCTCGTCTTCGAAAATTTGTAACATATAAATCACTATATTTTCGACATATATCTATTTTTTTTTCTCTTAATAAAATTAATTTAGCATTTAACTCTTTTATATAAGAAAAATTCGGTTTAGAGTTTGTTCTACTTAAATAAATATTATATTTGAGGTTTCTAATTTTTTTTTTAAGATTTTTATATTCGTATCTCTCTTTAATTTTATTTTCATCAATTATCTTCGTTAATATTACAATCTGTTCTTCATAATATTGAATTTGTTCACAACAATAATCATATGTATACCAAAAATTCATTATCTGTAATTTACCTGAATACATTAGTATAAAAAAATATAATATATAAATCTAAAATTAAATACAGATAGTAAACATTATTGAATATTTTTTAAATTAAAACATTTTTATGTAAAATAATATTATAAGTATAATACAACCATGAAGATTAGAGAGCTCCTGGTGGCAGAATAACCGTGCGACTTATTTGACAGACCGCTTTATAAACGAGCGGCTATAGGAGTTTGTTCTCCTTATCAGCTCTAATCTTCATGAATACAACTATCGCATTATCAAAACCAAATATTTATAATCAGCGAAAGTATTTCAACGTTGATAAACTATAGATAACCGTAATAGCGTTTTTCCATCTGACTGTACTAGTACACACTACACGTGAACACTGATTCCATAATCACATAATTGACCACACCGTTGAAATTCACGGTATCGGCCAGTGTACACCAGTGTGTACTAGTACAGTCAGATTTTGAGGTTAAGTTAAAATAATAATTATCAATAATAAGCATGAACTAAGATAATATATCTTAGTTCGTGATAATATAGAACCCTTAAACGGACGAGGGCCGTTCTCCGACAAATGATAACAACCAATTTTTACTCCGACAGTCAGGGTGACCAACTGTAAGAACTAAATATCAAAACTTATTTTTATAAAACTATTAATGAAAAAAAACCATGTGTACAACATATCAACACTATAACCTACAAATATCAAAGCTGAAAGTACTAACAAGTATCAAATACTGTAAAGTGTAAATCATTTACAGTATTTGCAAGTATCAAGTAACTTATGAAGTTTTTTTTCTACGGTAAGGTATTATAGTACATAATCATCGAACAACTTATAAAACGTGTTATTCAATAAATATTGAAAAATGTAATAATATAAAATAAATAGGTAATTCAATTGTTAAAAAATATAACCATAAATAATACAATAAAATTGTCATAATAATATGTTAGTATGTTAAATGTTAATAATAATAATTATAGTATTAGGTAATAAAAATTTTTAAAATTAAGCTTATTGACAATAAAACACACATAATCACTGTAAAACCAATAAATTCATCGCTACACGATGATTCTAAAATACAACTTTACTTATAAAACGTGTTATCGCTTAATAATTATTGGGTATGTTGTCATACGACAATACATTAACTCAGTATAATGCACGGTTATCTACACAGGTTGCGACTCGCGCTATGCTCCGTTGTATAATTTCTTGGACACGAGCGGTGGATTTGTGAACTACAGCGCTAGGTGTACTTGGCCATACATTTAAACGTAAAAACCACGGTTATCTACACAATTTTATCATTTAAGTTTTATCATAACAATTTGACATTTTGTCATGATTTTTACATTTTACTACAACTGTGTACTGTGTAGTATAATATTATTTTGTGTTCGACAATTCGTACATAAATATAGTGCGGTTTACTGTATGACAAGCTATTAATTAAATAATATTATAATATGGTCAAGTGTTGTGTTGTTGGGTGCTCGTCGGGGTACTACAAAAACAACACAGAAAAAATTACGCAATTTTCTGTCCCGAAAGACGAAAAACTACGAGCTATTTGGGCAAGAGCAATTCCACGAGACAATTTTATATTAAGTGAAAAACATTTTGTATGTTCCAAACATTTTCATGAAGACGAAATAATCCGATTTTGGCAGTCCGGTACAATACAGGTAATTTATTTACTTATATAAAAACTGATATAATTTTAAAATGATACCTTCTTATAATTCCAAAATATTTTCATAGGTAATAAATACAATATGCTATAATAGGTATTTAATCTATTTTAATTTACCTCTAATAGACATAAAATAAAATAGCCATTGAAGCTAGACATTTTTAAATGCTTATGCAATTCGTTATAAAAATGCAATACCTACCTATTATAATATTGTATGCCTATATTTCATATCTATATAAAAAAAATATACATATTATATACAATTAATTATAGGCAGGTACCTAGTTTGAATTAAAAATGTCCTTATTTATGTCATAATAATCTATGAGGACTTTTTCACAGATTCCATATAAACAATTTAAATTGAAAATTGGAGCGGTTCCTTCAATTTTTCCTGGCCCAAAGTACCTATCCAAGACTTTAAAAAGAAGAAAAGATCCTGCTATTCGAAAATTTGATGTCCCTTCCAAAAAAATTAAACTCTCCATACCAAATAACCTTCCAAATTATGTTGATGAAAATGTAGATGTATTGGAACAATGTAGTAATGTTAATAATCTGTTTAATGAAATAGCCAACCACGATAATTTGTCATCCATTATAAAGTGGCCTTTTACATTATCTGATAGCAATAATGATGTTAAAGAGCAAAGTTATAACTTTGTTTCATTGTCTTCTGGAGATTCATTTCCTATTGTGGAAAAAGCAATTAAAGTTAGTAATTCTGGAACAATTACTTTTGGAATTTTCGGTAAGGAAATTAGTAATACTATTATCAATATAACACCAGGAGAAAATATTTATTCATTTGCTGAAAATATTAAAGAATTTGAAAAATTAAGTGTTTGTTATGGTGGACCAAGAGCTGAAGAATTTCCTAACTTTTCTTCAAACCTATGTACTAAATCAACAACAGGAAGATTGAAACATAATCAATGTATACAAGTGGTTAAAATTGGTTCATCATCTTGTATACGGTGTGCTAGACTAAGAAATGTATTATATATGCAGAAACTGAGAATAAATTCAAACAAACAAAAATTAATTCAACTATCGCCCACAAAAAGAAACGCAAGTTTCCGTAGAATTAAAAACAATTTACAAAAGAACTTTAATAGGGCTAAGAAAAAAGTCACTGACCTGAAGTTAGAGTTGAATAATGTACAAAAAGAAATGTCAAAAATAAGTGATTATTCTATTAAAGAAAAAATTGATCTATGTGAAAATATAAATGAGTCTCAAAAAACTTTAATACTAGAATGTTTTACTGCAAGTAAAGTAAAAAATACAAAAAATCGTAGATATTCAGATAACTGGCTAATGCTCTGCTTATTATTTAATATCAGATCTCCTAGTGCATATAAATACCTGCGCAATAGTGCATTATTACCCTTACCACATCCTAAAACCGTTAGACGCCATTTATCGTTAATTAAATCTACTTGTGGGTTTGATGAAGACTTTTTGAAAATACTAGCTAAAAAAGTTGACAAAATGAATAGTAAAGAGAAACATGGAGTACTTCTATTTGATTCAATTAATCTTAGAAAAAGTATTCATGTAAATTCGTCAAATTTAACATATTTAGGTTTAGAAGACTATGGTAATGATATACCACATGCTGGCCATAAAGAATATGCGGACCATGCATTGGTTTTCATGTTCCAATCCCTTGGCTCTAATTTTTACCAAACAATTGGTTGTTTCGCTTCAAAAAGTGAAGTTAAAGGTAAACATTTAATTAAAATAATATATTTAACAATAATATTATAATAAATAATTTTATAGTTAAAAATCTATTTTATTTTTAGGGGTCGTTCTTGCAAAATTGGTATTAAAAGCCATAATACTTTTAAATAATATTGGAATTATAATTGATGGGATTGTATGTGATGGTGCAAGCACAAACAGAAAAATGTGGTCTGAATTAGGTATTAATGGTACCCAGGAAGGAATGAAAAATTATTTTGAGCACCCAACTATTCCAAATAAAAGGGTCTACGCATTTTCTGATTTTATCCACCTGTTCAAGTGTGTTAGAAACCGTCTCTACAATAATAAAAATCTAAGAGTAAAACAATTTTTAAATAATGTTTATTTTCAAGTATTCACAACTTGTTTAATAATTATAAAACAACTTTTTTTCTAGCTTCATTCGGATTCTGAGAGTGTTGCTTGGGGATACTACAAAGAAGTTTTTAAAGAAGACATAAAGCATCCAGCAAATCTTAGAATTATTCCGAGAATAACACTTCAGCATCTTGATCTCTTTCCAATGGCAAAAATGAGAGTTAGGCTTTGTACACAGGTAAATTCAAGCTCTTAAAACTTTTTAGTGTTATATAATATGATAAAACTAAAATTATTGTCTTATTATACTATATTAAAGGTATTCAGCATGAGTATGGCCAAAGCTATGCGATACTATAAGAGTAAAAATTGTCTCATGCTAAAAGGTTCTGACGAAACAGCAAATTTTACAGAGTTTTGGAATAATCTGTTTGACAATTTGAATCGTAACCTACCGTGGCAAGGCTTAAAAATAGATGACAGTGAAGGATTTCAGGTAAAACTAGATTTAATTATATTATTGAAATTAAAATATATAGATTTTAATTTTAATAAAATGTTACAGAACTTAAAGGATGCACTATACTACATTGATTGTTGGGAAAATGAGATGTTATGTGGAAACATTAGCACAGCAGAGTTTTTAACAAATCAAACGGCTGAGGGATTAAGAGTTACACTGAATTCCACGATTGATTTGTCAAAATATTTGTTAGAAACATGTGACTGACTGGGAAAATGTGTCAAGACCCTCTTGAAGTAAGTTCTTTTGATTTAAACATATTATTTCACTAACAAATCTGAATTTAAATTAAATATATTTAATATATAATTTAAAGTTATTATTTCTTAGTTTAATTTTTAATGGTCAATCATAATTTTATGGTATTTCATAAAAAAGCCAACATGATAATATAATACATATTTTTTATAACCACAAATCAAAAATTATTTAATTCACTTGTAATAATTTTAACAGACTATATCCAACCAGTAAAAAAACTAATGTATACAATGTTACAATCCTTTTTGTCAGTAGGTTATTTTGTATATTTAATATGTATATTGATTTTTATTGGTAACTCCACTTTTTATTTTTTAAGTTTAATTTATAAATATATTTTTTTTATTTCAGAAGTTTTTTGGAATAATACGACAGAGTTCCGGACCTAATGATCACCCAACGACACCAACCTTTCTTCATTTATATAAGATCTTATCCATTTATTCAGTTTTAAAACCGCCCAAATATGGTAATTGCTCTATTACCTATTGTGATGTTCCACAAATTTCTTTAGCTGATTTACGGGAAATATTCCATGATAAAGAAAACCCTAGAGTAGAAAAAATCAATAAATTGAAAATTAAACTGGACAAATTAATCGAAGAAGGGCAATGGGAGCCATGTGACATTTTTCCAAATTGCAGCAATAATGAAGAATGCAGTGTGAGGGACTGCATTGTGTACTATATATGTGGGTATGTCACAAAAAAGCTTTTAAAGTGGAAAAAATGCCTGCAATGTATTAATTTTTTTAAAAATAGTAATGCTAATCATCCTGCTGCTGAGCTTGTTTCACTTAAATCTAAAGGTCAACTTATTTATCCTAATTCTAGTTTGTATGAATTCTTAAGTACGATTGAACATTCATTTGCCTTACACTGTCATGAATATGATGTGTTTGATAAGGTAATTGATGATATAACAGGAAAAGATTTTAATTTTAATTACACATGTTTAGAACATGTTATTGATGTCACTACTGAAATAATTGTCAACTATATTCAAATGAGACTTAGACAATTTTCATATCAAGAAAATCTGAAAATGAAAAAAGTTTCTATGGTAAAGAAGAAGATATCCAAACTATATAATACGTGACAAATTATCAACTATAATAATATTTGATATTATATAATAATATGTCTTGTTAAGGGTTTAAATAAATAAAATAAATAAATACAATGTTCTAATATATCAATACAATTATTTAATTATTCAATATTTTCTGTATATTGCTATTCTTCCTTTATCGCACTGCATTTATATTAGATGAGCTTATTAACACATTGATGGACACGACTGCTATAGCAGTCATACACATGGCTGTATTTCATCAACAACAATGATAAAATGAAAAAACTATTTTATTAAAATATTATCAATAAAAATAAAATAAGTTTGGATTGCTTCATGCTTGTTGTGTAGATTTTAATTTTAATTATTTTAATATCTGTGTATATTAATTATTTTCAGACTACAAGATTCAAACCTTACATCGGAAGAATTATAAAAATTGATTTAACATTTATGATTTCTATTATATGCATGATAGTTATCTATCATTTATCAGTATAAATAACAAAAATAAATAAAAATATTTTCTTCTATATCATTGACACAACGAATTAAATTATACCAAAATATCATGAAAAACACACAATGGCATAACATTTAACAATAATACTCTTAGCTTTAGTAAAATTGTAAAATTAAATATCGGAAAAACATGAAAAAATACATAATATTGGATGTTGTTCGTGTAAATGTATGGCCAAGTACAACTAGCGCTGTAGTTCGCGATTCCACCACTCGTCGCCACGCGATAAGATACCGTTTTCCAACCTGTGTAGATAACCGTGGTATAATGTCAAGCAACAATATGAAATTATTTATTTTACCAAATCTTATAGTCTTTAATTCTACAAGAACACAATTGATTTATTTTTAATTGTGCACTGTTCTAATATATTTTAAGCAATAATAGTCCGATACTCCGACAAGTACGGCGGTATGATTGGTACAACATTTCCCTAATATCAATTTAATTCAAATTATGTTGGTATTGGAAAATGTTTGAGGTTACATTATGTTATCAAATTTATGTTTGTCGGAGAACGACCCCCATCTCACCCTTAAAACCTCAAAAAAATTTAAACACTTTATCCATGGCTGATAAGCCCGATGTTTTATCTTATCTATGTAAATCTATGATACATTGATACAGCAGTTTTCTATATCGCGGAGTGTGGTCATACAGTCACATAATTATAACGTATTATTTATTTTATTTAAACATAACTTAACAAAAAAAGAAAACAGCTTATATGATAGTAACTAAAAGTGAGAGTTGAGAAACCGTCTTAAACCACTACTTTTATTCTAATGGTTTTTATTTTACATAATCTGATCTGATGAAATATCTTTAAGTTTGTAAGCACGGTTTTAGATATAATTTCTATCTAAAGTCATGCCTATATGATATAACGTTCATAGTAATATTATAAAGCTATATTACAACGATACATTGTTATTATTCTATTCTATTTTTTTTTTATTTTAAAAAAGAAGTTTAGATGTTAAATTTAATAAATAACAATATAAAAATAGTACTTACATAGCTTGTGGAAATTTAAGTATTTTTTCTAAGTATGATGGCTTGTTGAAGAGGTCTGATAATCTGCTGGCTGACTGTTGGTTGGCGAAGAAGGCTGTTCTGCTGACTGCTCTTGGAACTGCTGTGGACTGCTGTTGCTTGAACTGATGACGATAAGCTAAGAAATTCTGTGTTTTATACCCGAAAATAGCCCCTCTCTGTTCATATCAGAAACTTTTTTAGAATGGATTTAATCATTTTAATATATTACATATCCTGTTTTCATATTAGAATGACATTGGTGTGTATGTAAATTATTTTAAATCCTGATTGTAATAATTTACATTCATATAGTGCACCTAATTATAATATGAAAGTGTAACATGTTCGTTACAAAAGCAATTTATGATAGCAACAATTTAAATTCATATAATGTAATTTCCTGTTGTACCTCTATGTACATGTTTCCACCGGTTTCTGTAAGGTAAGGTCATTGCTGTGGAAATTTGCATTTTAAATTATTGAAGTAGTGGCAAAATCTGTGTATAAAATACAGAGGGAATTCACTAATATTCACCAGTCTTCAAGATTTCATTCCAGGACAAGCAGCTCAGTTCAACAGAGATACTACCAAAAAAGATGTCGTACAGTACAATTGCTTCAACTGATTCAGAGGTTAGTAACTACTTAGTAAATATCTTATAACCAAAGCTAATTGGAGGCCAGTCGTAACACTACTCAACGCTATGGTTATAATTCTTAAAATAATATTAAATGCCTGATTATAGCATAGTTTAAAAAACTATATAGTAACTAAAGCATATTGGAGGTCAGTCGTGACATTACTCAACGCTTTGGTTATAATTCTTGGAACATAGAAAATATAAAATGAAAAAAATAGTAAAAATAATATACTATGTTTTATGTTTCATAGAATGAACATTTCAGCGAATCAATTGATATGAGACCGTCTTTTTCAAAAACAAAACCTGGTCTAAAACGTACTGCAGAAAAAACAAGTGTGAAAAAACCTATGAAAAAAAAGCAGAATAAAATGGTAGTATAAATAATATTTATTATAATGATAGCATAAATAATTTAATTTTTTTATAGAATGCATCATACAGAGATAATGTTACCGAACGTTTGAGATCAGAAGAATTTGATGTCGAGTTAATTAATTCGCTAACATTTAGACAAGGGGACGGTGGTGTTGTAACAATCAAGTCACCTTTTGGAGAAAAAGCAAAGGAGCTTTGGGTAATTAGCCACTATAAGGTTGCTAACATTGAGAATGTACCAGTAAAAGACAGGTAAATACATTGGTTTAAATTTAAAAAACCTATTGATGAATCTGTTTTTTTTTTTCACTGATTTTATTTACTTCTTTTGTTTTTAAAATAAAATAATTTGGTGTTATAGATGGAAGTTCAGTGAAGCTACTGTCAGATTGTATACAAGCGATGAATCAAAAGATCAAACGCTTCATACTGGTCTTAATGAGGCAATGCAAACCATATTTGACAAATTACTAACCGATCCGAAGCGTCAGACTATTAAAAGCAAGACGACCGTTTGATTATTATATGAAAAAATGAGTTTCATTTAATAAACAAAATATTATTATACATGTATGTTTTTATTTATTCAAAACTTAAAGGTCTTGGAAAACATAAACCTATAAACTATGGTTGGTTGGAAAAAAATTTAAAATATTAACAAATTAAAACTAAAACTTATTAAAACTATTCTTTATGATTTAAGGTGAGATGTAATTAAAATAAAAAGCAAGTTTATTATTGAATAAAAGTTTTATTAAAAAAAAAAAAAAAACAATAATTATACATATTTAAATATTTTTTTATGATATTAGGTCTTGTAAAATCATATCAGACAATGTGTTAAAATGGAATTGTAATATTTCATATAAAAATGATGTGTCATCGTTCTGTAGGTGATTATAATAATTAAAATCATAGTTTTGAATATATTGGTTGGTAAATTCGTTCCTTTGACAGGTGGACGGCAGACCACGGACATCATTTTTAATTAGGTCATATGCAGTGTTGAAAGTATTTTGATAATTTGCTAAACGTTTTTGCTTGTCTACCACGTACAAATCTATCAAATTCTGTAATTGACGAAGTCGGTACAAATCTACATGTGACAAGGTAATGTATTCCTCATTTAGATGTAGGGTAATTAAACTCTGTTTAACATTGGTTGAATATGAAAAGGAATCGGTGATTTTTACACGCCTCACCCTAGTATTTAAATTATTAATAATCGAATTGTAATTAGGTTCAGACATCAGTGTAAACCATTCTTCTAAACTTAATGTGATAATTTTCTT